GTTGACAACAAACAAGGTTTGACAAGATTATTTCTGTAAGCAATTGTTACATCGTTTGGGTTTAGGTGTAAATTGCTGTGTGAAACGATGCATTTGTAGGGAAAGAGTTGGCAATACTTCCAGTTGTCCTGGACGATTTTAATGTTCAACGATTGATATAATGGTACAGTATTATTTGCCTAACCAAATTTAGGGCAATTGCAGGAGTTGAGGTTAATTTTACAATGTATTTCAGAGTTTACTGTAACTGTACTTTTTCTACGCTGTCAAATTTTTTAGTATCAGACCCGTTTCTTGAAATAGTGCAGTTATCATTTTGCAAATTTGAACATAACTGGTCAAAGATTTAAGTCAATTGTCACACTATGACCCAAACGATGTAATTTGCAGTTTCAAAGATCCTACTATCAGTATATCAATACTCACAAGTATGACGAAAACATCATGTTTTTCACCTAAATCAATATTTGTCCACTTTGACCAACGTATCGTTATGCAATCTAAACTTTGAACTTCTGCAACATTGCACACATGTGCAATATCATCTTCCCACAACCGTGAACGTCCCATAAGTTGCATAAACCGACCTTTTCTGCAAGGACGAAAGTTCAAGAATCTGGTGACGCAATAGGTAATCTTTGCGGTTGAAGATTAACCGTTCTAGCGGTTAAGGTAATTTTGTTTGCTGCGTAGTTCTTCACCGTTTATAGCTGTTGTTTATTTTTAGCTCTGGAGAATCCCGATGTTTTGCAAGTGTTGTGTTGATTGTTTTAGGTGGTTGAATTTTTACGCGGAAGGAATTGGTCTTTAAGTGGATTTTGACGGTGAATTGATAGACTACTAATGGTATGGTAATCAAAAGTAAAAATAAACCTTCCACGCACTTGGATCAATGAGACCGATTACATACAGATTAGGGTTGATCGAAGGTTGCTGTGAAGAAAATCTTAGATTTCCCTACAATATTTTAAAGCTGGAGTTGATCTATTTAGCTTCATCCCAACATTTAGTATATTAAAAATACAAAACGTAAAAATTACACGTAGTTTTGACAAATCTTGTTTGAAACCGAAATCCATAAGGTCTTTTAGCTTTCATGACAAAAGTGAATAAAACCTGTATGAATCACCACAGATTTAAACACAAATGAAGCTGAATTAGAAATTACTAGTAAACCATAATTGTATCGTTTTGCTTTATTCTAACAACTTTATTAACTTTATTGTAACAAACTTTATTCACGCTAAGTTTTCCTGTTTCGTTTTGTTTACAAGCGGAAGTTGCCGGAGAAGGACGAGGAAAGCAAAAGTGGGTCTCTGGGTGGGCAGTTGGCAATTACAGACGTGAAAGTGAGTGAGACAACAATCAGCTGAGCGTTAGAAAACAGCTGACAGTTGCTACAGATTGCAGGGTTACCAACTATGTAAAAAAATCTAACCAGTTAAAACGAATACTGTATGAAATGTAGGGGCGATTTGTTTAATTTATTTGCCATCCGAAGTAAAAATTATGGAAGTTGACTGTTTCATCCAAAATGTTAGCAGTCGTAGTTTAAACTAACATAGTATTTGGTAATTAACACGATTTCGGCAAACATTTTGTAAGCTTTGTTTTTGGAACAGAATCATAAATGCTTGTAGGGGAGAACATTAATCTGAAAATTGTCTCATCCACTTGAAAACATAGCTTGGAAGTACCTATTAATGTTGATATTAAAATTTCATTATTTAGCCAAACTCTACTCTAATGCACATAGAAAAATCATAATTTTTTAAAATTCCACTCGTTGCAACAAAGTTAAGGACAATTCCAATGTTTATTTTGTCGCAAATTCCAAAGATCTCATTCTTAAGGACGAGTTAGTGACACAACCAGATATTTTGTGTCATAATATCTCGGGAATGTGTCCAAAAACAGTTCGGCGCCCAAACAATAGTAGCCCGGGGCTGTACTGTTTAGGCCTCGGTTCAGCCGGGTTGCGACATGTCGCCCTCGGCGCTGTTGCGACAGCTTCAACTTTCCTTCCTGGCATTATTTATCAAGTGTAAATGAGCCCCGCCGGCCACGATAGTTTCTGCTCCGGTTGAAATAAAATAGGGAATAACCAGTGAAAACAACAGCGAAGGATAGGAATGGTTGAGTAGTGTTTATAATACGTTGTCGCTACGAAAATAATCGTTTAAAGTAGCTTGTGGTGTGAAACCAAGAACACCCACAGATTTTTTTCCCAAGCGGAGAGGAATATGTAGTTACGAGGTTTGGGATATAAAAAAAAGGAACCAAAGAGGAACCTCTTTGTTCAAGAGGAAACAAAAGGAATCAAGAGGAACCAAATTATATATAGATAGTGTTTTGGGCTGTCTAAAGTACGTGGTCACTACGTTAATCATCGTTCACAGTTCCAATAATTGGTAGCTTGTTGTGTGAACCCAAGAGCATACAAAGAATTATTTTCCAAAAAAGAGAGGAATGTGTATGTACCGGGTTTGGAGGTATAAAACAAAAGGAAACAAAGAGGAAACAAATAAAAATAAGATAAACCAAACGCTACATGTATAGTGTTTTAGACTGTAACAAAATGTTTTTATAAAAAAATCACGTGTCTTAAAACTAACGTTAATAGAAACGTATTTGTTGTATAAATTATATACAGTTGTGGGTTACAGGGTGTACACGTTAGCATTTTAAGCCATTGAAAATGTGATTTAGATTTAGAGATAACAATCCCTGGCTTCTCAGCTTAATTAGCTAATTTAGTCCTGGGTTATCTATTTAAACTCTTTTGATGAACTCCGTTTATTACATGGCTTAGTTAAACTGTCATACGAACACATCAGCAGTTTGAAAGCATGACAAAGCGTAAATGTATGTGATGTAATTCACAATGCTTTCATGGGTAAAACTAACCCTAGTAACGGGCTGTAACTGCTATTAGGTTTGTAATCACTAATACGCAAAAAACGATAGTATTAATCAGTATTAAAGCTACTAGGATACCATTTCCACACTATAACTAATTCAGATACGGGTTAAAAAATGATTCGAAAAATAATGTTTATAGATAGTTATTAATAAGGTCCATCATTCATATTACTGAAAATTTGTACGTTTGCAACAATCTGAAATATGTATGCTTCAACTTAAACCAACCGAATTACCTTCAAACTAATTTGAAGACAATTTTGAAAAGACGTTAAATATTTCATTAGAAATTTGGTGAGATTTGTCATTAGTATCAAATCTTAAATGTATTTCATCCGAAGAATTGTATAGCCCTGATATAAAGAGAACACCGATGGTGGGATGATTTGATTACAATAAATTGTTAAAACCATTTGTGAAGTTTATAAATATAAATTTATTTATATTTATTTTCAGAGTGTATAATATATTTTTTTAGTGTATATTTTATCATACGTGTCGTAATTGGACCATTTAGTTTTTCATGTTTATTATTTTACCATTATTTTTTTATCAGCCTATAGGATAGATTTTGTCATTGATACATCATTCATTTGACAAATTATGAATGATCAATGTCTAAAGAAATATTGATTGACCGGTAGAAGAAACTTAAATTTTGAAATCTATAAATTCCATCGCATTAATATATAGAAGTCTAATATAAATTCAAGTGTAATGATAAAATATAATTAATTAATTGTTGATTGTATGTATTAATAAACATTATACAATTATGTAGTGAAATAGTTACGCATGCATATTAAACATCGGATTATATATAAAAAAAAGTGTTTGTGATTTCAGATTAAAACGATATTATTAAATACGCCTCAAAAATGATACCGGCAAAGTAATTTTTTTGTCTTTGCATGGCAATAGAAAAAGATAAGGATGACAAAGTAACCAATTAATTACTTCTTTATAGAGTAAAGTGGGATGGTATATTAGATAAAAACAACAAATGCCTGTAAAAAAAATATAAACATTGATGACAATTTTTTCTAAAGCCTCAATTTTGTAAATAGCTAAACTAGTAATCTATTTATATTGAGCTTAATGAAAGATACCATTAAAAATTACCTTAAGTCAAAACAGTTGTTTGTATGATCTTAATAAAAACTGTATCGAAACACGCACACATTTCCTCTAAAAAAACTGATTTTGTTGTTGAAATAACTGATAAAATACTGGATATTGAAAATTTATAAGTATTTTAAACATATACAATATAAAAAATTTCGTGTTTTTTATGATCAATATTTTGTTTGACTATTGTTCTCTCACCTATAGAAATATCATATTACGAAACAGCACGTTTAAACAATAACGACTTTTTTCTCTAATCCCAATGTAAATATAATAATGGATAATCAGAAAAAAACATTAATTGAATTTAGTTAAATTAACGTTTTCTGTTTTTTTTTCACCGTGCAAAAACCTATTTTGTTAACGTTTGAAATACAAAATAAACTGTTTTAGTAAATTTATAAAAGAAAAAATACACCCCTTTCTTTTAAACTAGGCCAATGCAAATAATTTTTTTCACTTTTGGTTAAGAAAATATCGAGCAGTTAATTGATATTTTTCATGAGTAAAAAAATAAATAACTTTTTGGCCATCATTGTACTTACTAACATACAACACTTGGAAATTCGAATGTGTTATCAAACGTATTTTTATTTACATCCCGTAAAAGGTTAATTCACGATCAAAATGGTTATATGAAGTTTTAAAATTTTGGGTATTTTTTTTATAAAAAAAAATAATGTGCATAAGAAATTGTGATGTGTTAAATCATCATAATTTTGATGCACATTATGTTTTTCATAAATAAAAAATACCCTAAATTTTCCACTCAGTAGGAAATCCCCAAATATTTTTAAAAGGTGAAACCCTTTTAACAATACTTTTTGCACAAATACATAAACAATTACATTAACCTAAACATTTTTTAATCCCCTAAACGTTATCACACAACCTACAAACAACTGTTTTGAAACACTTGAACACTTCACTGTATTCCACACTCGACGTACCGTAAGTCGCTAGCACCACTACTGCTACTGCTACCAGCTTCATCCTGAAGATCATGATGCACACACTACAAGAGACGGTGAGTTACTGTCGAGGAACGACCGTGGCGCGCTTATATAGTGACCTGGAGCTCGTGGTGGCTGGTGAGCACCCCTCCAGCGCGCGGCTACCCCGGCCACTGGGGTGGTTTGGAGGCTTAGGAGTGCTTAGTGTATATATATATATAGTGTAGGTTTTGTAGAAATGTTTTAGGGGTTGAAAAGGTTGTAAGAAAGTGTATATATTTGAAAGTGTAGGTTTCAGGAATCGAAGAAGGTTGAGGAGGAGGATAAGGTGTATGTTTTGGCCCCTAAGTTTTTTAAGTGTTTTTGTAGAAAGTGTATGTTTGTTGAGGTTGAAGTATAGGTTTTAGGAGTCCTTAATGTACTGTTTTTAGTTATATATATATATATATGTTTCATTTTTATCAATTTAAAAGGAAGTGAATGACTAGACAAAATCAAGCAATTTATGTTCTATGTAGATGAAGGTGTAGGCAGATAGGGATTGAAGAAGGTGCAGGAATATAGTTTATGTTTTTGACTGGTAGGTTTTAGGAATCGAAGAAGGTTGTAGGAGTTGGATTAGTTGTAGGTTTTGGAATTTAAGAAAGAGTAGGTTTTAGTTTTTGAAGGTGTCGGTTTTAGGAATTGGATAATGTGTATGTTGTTTGTTGTATTAAAACAAATTCCTTCATTTGGTCCTTTGGTTCCTTGTCCTTTTCTTATTTTTGGTTAGGAGTTGCACCATCAAACTGTATATTTAGGTATATGATTCATATGTATGAGATAATTAATCTTTTGAAAGTTGAAGAAAGTATAGGTTTTTGGACTTGTAGGTTCTAGGATTTGTAGAAGGATATCGGTTTTTGGAGTTGAGTAAGGTGTATATTTTAGAAATGTAAGAGCAGTGTAGGTTTTAGAAGTAGCAAAAATTGAAGGTTTTGGAATTGCAGGAAAAAGATAGAGGTTTACAAGTTTGAGATCCTGTGTGTTTAAAAATGGTTTAAATTGAGTTTAAAGGTTTTAGATGTTTTTAGGTTTTTTTTTGTTTTTAGAGTTTCGGAAAGAGTTCCGTCTTAAGACTTGAAGAAGGTGTGACTTATAAAATTCACGGAAGAAAGTGTATCTTTTGGGAAAGTGAGAAAGACTAGGATATTAGGAGATGCAGAACAATATGTATTAGGAGTTGGAAAAAGTGGTTGTATTTTTTGATAAAAATGTATATTTGAGGAATTTTTGAAAGAAAGGTTTCACCTGCATGTTTGATGTGTATCAAAAGATGTATGTTTCAGAAATATAAGCATGTGATTGTTAGGAGTGTAGTTTTTTGAGAGGCTATAACAAATTTAGGATAGCAGGGTAAGAAACAACTTATTTTAAGAAAATAAGAGAATCGCACGTGTTTTCAAAAAGGAAATATATATCAGTGTAACCAATTGTACCAATTGTCTTTAAAAACATAAATCAAATGAATACACATCCTTTAGTTCAAATCGCTTCAATAAATTTTCCCAACATGACGTAACCAATGTTGACAAAATAGTGTCCTCACACATCCGTCTGAATTACAATATTACCCTTGGGAAATATATTTTAACGAAATTACAGTGTGATTAAAGGATGTAGACCTTCCGTTTCTGAGGTTACTGCCTGGTCAACCTTGTCTCGGCTAGGCAGGAACGCCGGATCTACAGGACTACGGTGGTCTCCCCTCCAATGACTAGGGTCAACGTAATCTGCCTGGGCCGTCCATGCTCAGGCAATAAGCAATTGTAAACAAAATGTTGATGTAAGCTTAAACTATGGATACAATGTTCAGGAATAGATCTGCATAAGTAATTATCTACTTCAGATGGCCTCCTCTAATGCAATGCTGCGTCGAGAGAAAAGTGGCAACACCGCAGTCCCGTCCTTCCAAATCAGCTGATGCACTAATTCACATGGAGCGTCTATGCAATGTTTATGTTTGCGCGTTTATTACCGTTGTTGCCATGGCAACACACCGGCCGGTGTGACACCAACACCGCGGTCTTGTATTAGATCTTTGACCATTGCATTATTTGATGTCAGTTTAATCCATGGTAAAAAATGTTTAACACTCATGAGTGTTTTTTGTTGGTAGTGCTTGCTTTTAACTCAGAATGTTGCTGGTTCAATCCTGAACTGGGCCAGTAGCTTTTTGGTAGTTCGAAACTGGACCCCGTCCTGCTCATTTGGCTTTAAATGTGGTTTTGAATTAAAGAATCTAGCTCAGCTATTATTGTATTTTTAATAAAAAGCTATAATTTCATCCATTTAACACTTCTTATTTACTCAAGTTTGACTTAAAATACATGCCCTGTTTGCCGGCGTTGAATATCTTATCTTTGGCAGTAAGCAAAGCTACAATCAGGAAAGCCTCACAAAGCCACAAAGTTTCACAAAGCCTCAGAATCAGGAGTTTGATAAGCTTTCGAGAGATACATTTGGAAAAATAATGAGATCAGAAAACACAATTTTGAAAACCCCAATACAAATTTGAAAACTATTAAGTCAAACCTTCCAACCAAATAATCTTAACCATTTTCAAAGGCGAACTTTAGAAGATACTGATACTGTTGAAGAAAAAGTAGACAAGAAAGAAATTGTTAATAGTCAACACTCAAATTAGCTACAACAATGAAGTGGCACAACCATAGTTTTTAAAAAATTTATGCAAATGGGGTTTAAATGTGTCTCATTTTGATAACTGTAACCAAATTGAGGTAGGTAAATAACATTTTAATGGTGTACAATTTTTCAAATTTATTCGACTGTTAAGTAAATGGTATAAGTTTTATTTACCTAATAATTGTCTTCAACAAACTTAATCTTTGAAAAGTAAAAGGCTATTGATCTAAATACATATAAAACATTTTTTTTTTATCGTGTTGTGTGTTTTAAAGCAATTGCCAGTTTATCCATTTTGTGCAAAAGAATGGTCAAAACGCTGCTTCTGTCGTCCTTTAGTAAGACCACATCATCAATTGATATTCAAAATAGCAGACGGTATTGTTTTTTCAAAATTATGAAAATCACTTTCAACTTTCAAATTCAGGTACAGAAATATTAGAAATATTTCCAATGCAAAACCCTTGAATATAGGATACTAAAACAGTTTTACTACATCATTTAACTAATTATGCCTGAAACACTGCATTTTAATGACTCGACTCTCACATGTTGCCTACAACTTTCACTTATTGATACATTGTTAAACGATCCAAAGGTAGTTGACTTCTCCCACGATCACATGTTCAGTTCCCATCGGGAAAGTGGGTAATTAACTAAGCTCGGATCTAGTGAACACTGGGGTATTCTTATTTGAATAGTTGACTTTCAGAAGTGCGAGTAGACAAACTATTGTTAACTAATCGTTGACGACTATTGTCAAATCTGATGCCTTCTGATGTTTTATGCGTGTTGATGCTGTATTACTTGAAGATATAACAGCACTTACGTGAGGAATCATCACTCAATTACCTATGAGCAGCAAAGCACAATGCATCGGATCCAGACAGCTGGAGAAGGAAGAGGGTGATATCTTCAACTGTAGCACCTCCAGCTTTAAGACATTTTGTTTTCTGAATCCATTTTTAAGATTGAGATTGCTGATATGCATCGTCTACTTAATATAAATTTGATTTAGTTTATTTTTTTCCTTTAACCATTTATAAATTTTGCTTTGTGATGTAATTAATAAATTTTCTTGCATAAGGTTGATGTTTTAATACTTTTTTTGTTATTGTTGCTATTATTTGCAATCCATTGCTATTATTTTAGTTATTGTCGTTACTTGCACAGTTTTTATAAATTATATATTTTACTGGCCATTCTACAATGGAAGTTCTTTGCCTAGTCCTAGAACAAAATATTTTATTGTATTTACTATTGTAAATTATGAAGTGGTTTGTCCGTCAATAAAGAATATCGATTTTCTTGGGAATAGGAACTAACAAATGAAAACTTTGAAGATAAATTAATTGTATCCGAAAATACGTTTATTCTCTAATGGAAAGGGGGTTTATTCTGAAGGACATGTATTACCAAGAGGAGAGTTATAATAGTGATGTGCTACCAATTGTATTCTTGCTTACGAGAGTCTATTCTAAGAGTGTAATAGTACAGCAAAACGTGTTTTGGGTATTGTTGTAAGAGGAGGTGTTTTCGTTTTAGGGAAATTGTAGAAGCAAAGGACATTGCCTAAGAACTGAGTATTCAAATCTGAGTATACATCTCCATCTAGGACTATAATCTGTATAATGAAACCTGTATCCTGTATCCTCAGTCTGCCTGCGGAATGGCCAAAGGTTTAAGGCCCGATTCCCAGGTAGACAGGGCTAGTCCCATTATATAGACGATAGGAGCATCTCGATTCAAGACGGAGATCTCTTGGCCGTGGCCACGAGGAAAAAATGCAGCCAAAGTCTTTAAGAGGAATTGTAAAGGCAAGGGGACCCCAATCACTTCAAAACTAAGAACTCCGATCAAATGTATTTTTTTCTAGGACCAGAAACATACCGATCTTAGGACAGAGACCTCTTGGCCCCTTGGCCGTTAGGTTGCAGCTAGGATCTTTTAGGGTATCTGCAGAAGCAAGGGACATCCGAACACTGCAGAATTGAGTATACCAATCAAATGTTTCTTCTTCTAAGACCAGTGACATCCCGATCTTAGGACAGAGATCTCTTGGTCATGACGGCGAAGAGAAATGCAGCCAGGGTCCCTCGACAATCGCCAATTACTCTTCAATTAGTGCTGCTTCTCTGGTAATTACTATCGGCCTATTTCCCTTTCAGCTTATCCAAACAGCTACAAGATCTTGGATGGTTTAAAGATGGAGGAATATCCAATATTAGGATATAATAGTTCTTGTTTATATTTTGTAACTTTAAAAAATGACTGGCAATTTTAGGATTGTTTGCCTTAGTACGTTATGGCAAAGCGTTTCGTATATTGCTTTGATAAAGTTCGTAAATATGTAATTTATATTGTGTAGATAAGATAAGTTTGTAATAAAAGTTCCTTGTAATCCTATCCTATAT